ATGACTCTTGATGTCTTTGAGTACAGTAGGCAATTAAATTTTAATAATGCCTTTTACGTCAAAACTTTACAGTGTTAAAAAAACTAAGTTTTGATTTCCATTCTTCAATTTGAATGCGAATAGTCGTTTAAAATGTCCTGGTACTGACGCGATCTTTGTGTTCATTCCATGCATTACGAACCTAGGTATAATGAAGAAAGAAGAATATTAATGATATATTTTGAAAATACACTACTGGTAGGCCTAATTAATTTGAAATCAAGTGTTTCATTTTTTAGAAAGTATTGGTTTGTGGTTATGCCTGCTATCGCCTTAATAGGCTGGTTCATTGTATTTGTACTAAAATTTGAATACACCATAATACATCCACACAAAAATATAATTTCTCAAATAAAGGCAAAGGTGTAGCTTGGAGAATAAGAAACTCGCAGCGTATGTGCTGATTTGCGTATTGGCATCAAAATCATCAAATGTGCTACCGACTGCAAATAAGATAAATATCAATCTGATTTGATTTTAGACATTTAAGGCCGATTTTACATAAATCGCTATACTGTCACTACACTGTTTTCATTATAGTCGTTAGCGCCGTTGTCTCGAGCGTAATCGGGAAAGTTGGATTCGATTTACCATTTAGCGTGTTTTTTTTGTTTTTTTTTTTTAAATTTTGAATAACTCATTTTTAAAAGATCAAACAAACAATTTTCGTAGTATTACACGCGAATTAGGGAATTTATTCCGCAACATCATCGCAAAAGTATTTCAAACCCAGCTGCTAACTTGGATTCAGATTCAACTCCTAGACATTAAACGTACGCACAGTGGCTTAGTGGTTATGACATTAAGCTTGTTATCTGAAGGTCGTGGGTTCGATGACACCCGAACCACTTGCGATTTGTTTTCGCTAGCATTTGGGAACATACTGAGCATTCAGTTAGGGCAAATATTATTCCTATTAAATTTTCTGACTCAAAACATCTTCGAAATGCTATTTTTTTTTTGTTATATATTTTTTAAGTGGGCTCAAATTGTTTAAGTGTACTGCCAGTTAATGTAATTTTCCCATGAGGACAGCAATAAAAAATAAGGCACATAAACTAAATACTAAATGTAGCATTTCTTTGGCATTTAAAAACACGTTATATTTTCATTGCGGATTTTTTGGGCTCAGTACGGACTCCAAAAGTATGCATTTTCTTTTAGTTTTATAGCGTATGCGGATTTTATAAGTCCGCAATGACGATATAACGTGTTTAAATATGTTTTACAATGAAATTCAGAATCAATGTAAAGATTATAAAAATGTAATGATATAGTAAGAGACGTTTACCTGTTTACTGCAAAGAAGTTGAGAAAGAAAAATCACGAAACCTTGGAGCCCGTTCACAACAACAAATATTAAATCAAATGCAGGTGTGTCTTGAATAGCTACGAAAACGCCAATAATCCATGTTACACCAAACACTGCCACTAACGGTATGAACGAATTTCCGACGCTTCTAAAAAGGTATATAGACAATAACATTTCATTTAATCAATATATTAACATTATGTACTCACTAGGACAAAAACATGGAAAGGTAATACATAAATTTGTGTTAAGTGGTGTGAAGGTGAGCTGACGAATTAGATCGAGACCATAAATACGCGCGTGTTTACGTTGTGGTTTTTTCGGACCTGAGCAAAAATATACAATGGGTGCTTAAAAGAAAGGTCCATTAGGTGGGAAATGTAAGGGAAAAACAATATTTGAATGAGCATTTCTAGTAACACCACTATTAAGTTAATTACAAAGGAGCAAAGAACTTTATATTTTCATTTTCTACAGTATATTCTGAGCTCCAGGACTAAAAAGGAAAATTATTTACGTACTCGGCTAGTAGGTAATGAATACTTATACAAAACGTGAAAGGCCATACTTTTTGGCGCCATAAACGTTATATAGTATTTATATAATTGTTTGTATATACTGTATATTTATTCATTAATTGTTTTTGTAGATACCTTGACCGTTTTGTATTTAATTGCATGCCTGTTGGTTGTACAGAACTGTTGAGCATTTTAGATGTCTTCCATGCCACCATTATTAACTGTATTGAAATAAGCTAAAATAGGAAATCACAATGTTAATCCACTAAATTAAGATAATTAAC